GAAAACACCTCATCTTTAATAATTCACACAACAGAGACTCTGAAATTATTCTTATTATCAAAAGTAAAGAGCAGTAGTTCCTTTAGTGGCAATAGAAGGACTAGAAAATTCAATTAAAAAAAATTTCCAGCATATATAGAAAATAAGACTTTATGGTTGTCATCCTTATTAGATCCCAGATTCAAAATTAAATTTCAAAACAAAAAAGATGGTAGAGAAAATAAAAAGATGGACAATCGATAGATTAGATGATGCTGATAATTCAAAATCTCAAGAAGAATTAAATTCTGAAGCTTCTACTTCTGGAGATGATTAAGATGGAGGATAATCTCCGAGTTTTTCAAATTTATTTGATGAATTAGCTTCTGGTAAATGAAAGAATGAATAAGAGCATGTTTTTAAAAAGGAAGAAAAAACGAAACAAACAAACAAACATTTTGATCAAGAATTAGAAAATATTTACATTTACCTCTTATACAAAGACATAGTGACCCATTTTTGTGATGGAGAAGTTCAAAAGAATTTTTTCCTAATTTGAGCAAAATAGCTATGAAATATCTAAGTCCCCCAGCATCTTCCATTGAAAGTGAAAGAATTTTCGGAGTTGGAGTTAACATTTAATAGCCCTGAAAATGGTGAAATTCTCATGTTTTTGTATTACANAACAAAATATATTTCTTTAACCACTGATATTTGGACAGCAACTACAGATAATTTTCCTTTTTTTAAATGTAACAGTACCACTGGTTGAAGGATGATTTTCAGCAAAAAAGAGCTGTTTTATGAATTGTTTCCTTTGAAGCACACACAGTTACATGAATCAATGAACCATACAGCTACATGAATCAATGAACCATACAGCTACATGAATCAGTGAACAGATAAACATAGTTTTTGAATGGTATAAGTTAACAAAAGTCATAAGATATTCTTAGTACTAAGAGATTCCGGAGCAAATATGGTAGCTGGAGTCGGGAATTGCAACTTAGAGGTATTATCATGCTTTACACATACACTGCAGCTGACACTAAACGAATGCATATTTTCTTAACAAGATGTGAAAACTATAATCACAGTTAATAGAAATATTGTCACACATTTTAATCATTCTGCTGTAGCTGTAAGCAAATTGGAAGATTTGCGAGACAAGTTAGGTTTGAAGAAACACAAATTAATTCAAGACGTTCCTAATCACTGGAATTCTACATACTACAGATTGCAAAGAAACTAGGAACAGCAAAAAGCCCTTGTCACATATGTTATAGATAATAAAATTCCTACAATGAGTATATATCAGTGGTCTCTCGTTGAAAAAATTGTTCTACTTTTAAAATCATTCAAAGAAATTACTGTGGAAAGCCAGCAACTGAGAAACCACCTCATCTTCAATAATTTCCACAATAGAGACTGAAATTATTCTTATTATCAAAAGTAAAGAGCAGTAGTTCCTTTAGTGGCAATAGAAGGACTAGAAAATTCAATAAAAAAAATTTTCAGCATATATAGAAAACAAGATTTTATGGTTGTCATCCCTATTAGACCAAAGATTCAAAATTAAATTTCAAAACAAAAAAGATGGTAGAGGAAATAAAAAGATGGACAATCGATAGATTAGATGATGTTGATAATTCAAAATCTCAAGAAGAATTAAATTCTGAAGCTTCTACTTCTGGAGATGATCGAGATGGAGGATAATCTCCGAGTTTTTCTAATTTATTTGATGAATTAGCTTCTGGTAAACGAAAGAATGAATAAGAGCATGTTTTTAAAAAGGAAAAAAAACGAAACAAACAAACTAACATTTTGATCAAGAATTAGAAAATATTTACATTTACCTCTTATACAAAGACATAGCGACCCATTTTTGTGATGGAGAAGTTCAAAAGAATTTTTTCCTAATTTGAGCAAAATAGCTATGAAATATCTAAGTCCCCCAGCATCTTCTATTGAAAGTGAAAGAATTTTCAGAGCTGGAGGTAACATTTAAGAAAATGTTACCTCCAGCTCTGAAAATGTTACCCTGAAAATGATGGAATTCTCATGTTTTTGTATTACAAAAACATGAGAATTCCAGATGGCGCCTAACGTCTACCTCTAGTGTCAAATTACTTTATTCCAATCATTTAATTAGCCATATTATAGCCCGATATTTAGGCGATCGTTTGGTGATGTATTTTGTATTACAATTTAAGGGTTTTAAAGTTTGAATATTAAATTTTTATTTGTTTTATATATTTAAAGTTTAAACTTTAAATAAAACAGATAGTTTTGAATAGGTTATATTATACCTTATGATATGTATTGATAAAAGAAATAATTTAAGTTAAAATTTTTTTAATATTTAGATTGTCATGTAATAAATAATAAATATGTAACAGGATTTTATTATGTTTTATTACTAGCCTTACATGTAACATTCTAACAAAAATATTAAAATGCAAAATTGGTCGATTATGAAAACCAATTAATCGGGGAAAAGGCCAATACCGATTAATCGGAAAAATGGCCAATATGGCTGATTACTGATTACTTACCGATTAATTGGTGCATCCTTACTAAATACTATGGGTAGTTTTCAACATACTTCTACTTTTTCTAAGGCCCAATGTGTTAAAATCATGCTGTTTGTGGGGTATTGACAATGGATTCAAAATGTTCTCTGACCCTGAGATTCATTGATCTAAATGGATCCTATGTAGAACAAGTAAAATGGCAAAGCCCGTATTTGGGACAAGACTATGTCTCAGAGACTCACTACTAAGTGGAATCACTTTGACACTCAAGGCGGGCCTCGTTCTCATTCTCCAATCTTCTTTGGTATCGCCGCTTCTGAGCACGATCATTCAAACTTCACCGGCCATGATGCATTTTTGATGAAATTAACCTATCCAATTTTGAAATTTCTCTCCATTGTGTGTCGGCCTGGGTTGAATTTTTGTCGATGCTTAATGAAAATTTCCCATTTTTGAACAAAAAATAATCGTGCTATTGTATGTCCAAAATTATTTTTTTTATTTTGCACAAACAATATAAAGTTTAACCTGATTATAACGTCATCAGATGTAACGACAACCCTAATATAACTTCAAATTTTTATCGGTCCCACAATTTTACTATACTAGATAATGTTAAAAAAGAACCTACTTGTAACGACATAAAACCCTGTTTTAATGTCATATTTGAAGCACTCCCAAATTTACAAAATTAGATTACAAATTTTATTTAACATAGAAGAAACTACATATTCAGTCCTAAGGTCAGAGTTCACTTCTTAGAATGACTATGGGTGGTACTCTTCCCCACCTGACTTTGGTGGGGTGAGGTGGCTGTTTTGTCTGTTTGTAGAAGAGGGTCTCCATTTTGTATTTTATTTTGACTCGGTTCTCGGTCCCGACTACCTACAAGTCTGGATTTTTTTATGTGCAAATGATTTGAACACCTAATATTCTGTGCCAAATATCAATTCTCGACATGTACTCCTTCATACCTCTATGTTGGTAACATAAAACAGCAGTACGATTTTATAAACAAGACATAGTCTTGTCAAAAATTTGTTGTGCCCTTTAATCCAATCACATAAATTTCCAGCTTTTTAACTTCTGCCACTTCCTCTTTGTTCTAATTATCTGTATGACCAAGGGTAATCTTTTAATTATACTTGAATGTTATGTTTTTTTCACTTTGGTGTTATCATCCCTGCAGTAGTTTTGCCAGATACTATACAAAGCTTTTTAACTTTCTCATTTTTTTACTTCAGCTGTTGTTTGCCTTTTATATCTATCTGATATATTTTGATTTAAATAAGCTTTCACCAATCCCTGTATCACTTTTTATAACAAAAAACAAAACAATATAGTATCAAAGTATACAGAAAGCCAGATAATATCAGAGTATATATTCACTGGTACTCTAACAATTCCATACCTCAGACTGGCAGCATATAGAGCCCTACTGAAAATAGCAATTACTCACTCAACCTACAGTTGGCACAGAAAACAAGAGATCAAGGTGATAACAGAAGCAACATGTAGATGCAAAGTCCCGCAAAAAGTGAGGGTACTTTGAATGTGGCTATGGTTTGAAAATGTAAGAATAAATTCACAATTTTTTATAAATAAATTCTGGTTTTTTTTGGTTCACCCTCTCATATATATGTATTGATATGTATGTATATCTTTACATATATATAAAACATCTGTAAAATATATATCAGGTTGCAAATGTGAAATTCACACATTTCACCTTTTTTCTAAAAATGACTGGAAAAAGTTCTGGAACATTTGATTAGGACATATAAATACAGTAAAAAGGGAAATTTGTCACATATTTCATTGGAAATAGATGAATCAGCAATGTCTGACAATAAAAAACTTCTAAAATAACATATTTGTGTGCTAGTGCTCTATCACTTCAAAAGTGGTCACAATGCAATGAAGGCTCAAACTCATCTGTTAAAACATTCATGGTGAACCAGATGTAGCAAATGTCAAAAGCCCAATATAGCAGTAGAAGGTGATAATCTGCATTTGTTGGCATCATCATGATGGAGCTGCTTTCAATCAACATCACGGTCAGGAAAGAACTGTACTGTGAACAACGGCATTGTTTGCAGTAAGTTCTCTCCTGACAGCAAGATCAAAGAACTTCATCCAAAAATTGACAATGTCCAATACTACCATGACAATAAGCCAGATAATTGCCTGAAAATGACCCCAATGTTATGATAATCTAAATTTAATTATATTCTTAAAATATTTATATACTTTTTACTTTCCATAAAATATATTACAAAATAACAACATAAATTAAAATTAAACTACAATATTCATAAATTTAAACATAGTTCAAGTAGTTTTACCTAAAAATAAAAAATATAATTTGAAGTAAATTTTAAGTGAAGTATGATGTATTAAATGTATATTATTTTGAATACACGGTCCTTAAACCTCAGAGATGCAATAATGAATTTTTTAAAAAATTTATTGAAATAAATTACTCACAGGGAGACCACCAGAGATGGCCACCCTCTGACTGTGTTAAGTTCATTATGTAGGGTGTATTTTTTATCTTGAGACAATGAAATAACTTAATTGGATCTCATTATTTTGGAAAAAGGTATAGACAAAAGTTGTAGGGTGTCAAGGGGCCAATCAATTGGTGACCTCAGATATGACCTTGACCTTCAAGGTCATTTGAAGGTCAGGTCTGTTTTTTCAATGGGAACACACATTTTTGACCCCGGAAATGGAAAGAGCAGGAAATTTCACAACTGAATGTACCTTTGACCCTATTGTCTAGGTCAAAGGTCAAGATTATTTTAAGGTTAAAGTTATTAGCTCATTCAGTTACTGATTACACAAGCCTACAAAAAAATTTTTTTTGGTGCCTAGGATTTTAGAACTGATTTTAGCTATATTTGGGTCACTGAATCCAAATATGAAATCAGTTTATCTCTATCATCTCTACTTTTTTAGATCTGTGTTTTTTTTAACATACAGTGCTACATGAAATGTGCAGCTCTAATTCAAGTTTGTACAGTTCTAAATCATATATGCAAGAATTGATTCCTGTATATTTTCCCCATAGTTAGTCTGCCGTCCAGTTAGTTCCAGGTAAATCCACCAAATAAAGTAAGCATTCAGTAACGAATTGACATTCAATGCTTCAACTAGAGTTGAGGTAAGTTTGTAAGTTCTAGCCATGCAGTGTCTAGATCAGTGTTTCCCAACCTTTTTTGTGCTATGCCCCACCTAAGCCTTTCTAAAATTCTTATGCCTCAGTTAAGTATAGAAAAAATTAAAGCAGGAATATTTGATGGCCCACAAATAAGACAACTCATTAACGATCTTGCCTTCGTCAATTCGATGAATGAAGCTGAGCAAAAAGCCTGGACTTCATTTGTTGCAGTTGTCAGAAATTTTCTAGGCAAACGCAAAGCTGAAAATTATGTTGAACTGGTAAACGAGATGCTTAACAGTTTCAAATTCCTTGGGTGTAATATGAGTATTAAGGTGCACTATTTACACAGTCACTTAGACCGTTTTCCTGAAAATTTAGGAGACACCAGTGAAGAACAAGGTGAAAGATTTCACCAGGATATTAAAACTATGGAGGACCGCTACCAAGGAAGATGGGATACGCATATGATGGCAGATTACTGCTGGAGTTTAAAAAGGGATTGCTCCAAAATACATTCACGAAAGTCACGGAAAAGAAGCTTCCTCAATGTGTAACTGTTTAGTTTTATTGATGACTTTTTCCTCTATCTTTGTATAGAATAATATTTGCATAATATAATAATAAAAATTCCGTGTTTAGTTTTTTTACTTGATCCATGGATTTAACTTAAGATATTGAAACATATATTTCGCTAAAATGCTATATCTTAAAAATTAGAGCTCCTAGGCAAAAACTAATGCCATATTTGAATTCAGGACATCAAATTCATATGAAATCAGCTCAAAATACCTGTGCACCAAAACCACTGTTGACCTGTGTTATAATTATAATAATTAAACAAAGTTCATAATACATGACTCCCACAACTCATTCATAGTGCAACATCAATAATTTAATACTTGCAAGGAGATTTTTGCTATTGTGTAAACTTACTGCATGTCCATCTGGAAATACAATTTATTGATATGAAATGTTTAAAATGCATGGCAAATAAGTGTTATAACAAAATACTAATTTTCGTTGTTAAAACTGGAAAAAATACTTTGCACAATAATCCAATTTTCACACACATTAGAATAACTTTTAATAAAGATTTGAACCCACAAAATACAGTATAATAGTTGAACACCTTATCCACTTGCTATGTTGCTGTTAACATATTATCCATATAATACAATATACATAAGGAACATGAAAAATTTAATTCATTTTCTTATGAATATTTGAGAGTTGCATTGAGTGACTTTACTGTAAATTATTAGAAGGGTAGTACTATGATATATATCAAACTGCGTAAAATCAGAGAAGGCCATCACTGGTGGTCTCCTTGTCAGTTGAAAATTTGAATTCAGAATATAATTATTACATTGTAATAAATTTAAATAGTATTCATTGTATAACAGCTTTTCTTTATTTATTAAGTCAGTATATACAACATAAAAAAATATGAGAATGTGTCCAGATTCATCAAATGTTATGTATCTTACCTTTGAAGAATTTCGAGTCGGAAGATTTATGGTTAATTCATGAAAATAAAAATGCTCATGAGCACAGACTAGAAGAGGTTCGGGTGTATGATTGGGATGTAGCAATATAATATGAATATTATCTCTGTGATGAAAATCAGATAAATGTGTAGCAAAATTTACATCACCTATTAATAGAAAAAAAAAATATATGAAGTTAAACAATAAGAAAAATTAATATTTTAATAAATATAATAGAATTCTTCATATTTAAGATAAAGATAAATATATATATATATACACACAACATCTCAACATAGACTAATAGGGGGTGAAGGTTGTCCAAGTTTACAAAAGTCTGAGTTAGCAGGAAGTTTGTTGTGCATAATTAATGTTGTTATTAAAAATTAACTTTTAACAGAATATAAATATAATATACACTTAAATTAGTCTTATAGTACTAGCCCCTCTTGAACTTACTTTCTGTATATGTCGTTTATATTTATAATGCAAACTTATTTCTAGTTTTTTCAGAACTCTGACAAAAAAATAGTTAATAATAGTTCAAATATGATGAGAGTAGATTTTTACAGCAAAGTAGTTTTGTGTAGTTTTTAGTTTTGTTAATTTAGTTTAATTAGATCAAGGAACACATTATGTGCATACATATGTATATTACATGTTGGTTTGTAGACTTAACATTTTTTAATCATTTTTATCTAAGATGTAAATTATTCAAGAGTTTATGAAAATTTAATCCAGCACAACATAAACAGCCATGCTGAAATTTTATTTTCTTTAAATATTTAAAATACAACTAATATTCATATACTTAATCACAGAAATATAAATGGTGTCCATAAGTCATTGGTATAAGAAATTAAAAGTATACTAAAATATTACATCTGGTACAATTGTAACTAATGTTATTTTAATGACAAACTCTGAAAGTTTAAAACACACTTAAGATGCATTGTGTCAGTATTTCTCAATTGGGAGCCACAGGCCAAAATTCAACTTTTGGGAAGCTGGAGCTAACTGTAGGAGGCCACAGTCAGAATAAAATATTGAAATTATATATGAAAATGATTAAGCTTCAATAAGTAAATTATTAGAGAAACGTACATGAATTATTAAAATAATATGTTTAAATAAAATACAGAAGCAAATTTGATAAGGAACTTTTAAACCTAAAATGTCCTGCTTTTCAAACAGCAGGAGAACTTTGAAAATCATGAAAAGAGAATAAAAGGTAGATGCAGAAGCAAAATGTTTTATTTGTTATCAGAAAATATACCATAAATCTTCTAATATATACCAGGGCATCCATTGGACACAATATACTTAGTCCCCAGCATATATAAAAGAATCAGTCTCTGTTGGAGACCTGGCATCTATTCCATTATAGTAAGTGTAATGTTATTATAGTATTACCATATCTACATTTCATGAATTTTTCTAGTCATCCTCTGCTAGCTGTGAACAGTGTATTTTGTTTATCACTTTCATCTAACTAGGTCAAAATTTCTCCTAAGTGTTGTCCATCACCATTTGTCTTGTTGAGTACAGCTAGTTTCTCTTGCTGCTCACAGATCCACTGCAAAACCTTTGCTTCTAATTCTTCACTGATCTTCTTGTGTCATGTGATGGGCTGCCAGCATTTTTGCTTTACTCTTATTCTTGATAGCCTTAAGAGCATCATGCTTGTTCCTCTATTGCTTGAATTCAGAGTGTTCTGTTTGCATATATGCTACAATTACATTCAGTTTGAAAGCAACACAGCAATACTATAAGACTTCTTGGTTGTCATTCCAATCAAAATTTAGTTCACTGATCTATATAAAATAGAAAGTTCACAGCAGAAAATACAAGAAGATGCACTCACTCATGCATTATTTATTGTATACTGCAGCTGCCCCCATGCCATAGTAAAAGCATTTTTCAAGGGTTCTCATAAAAAAATTACCACAGTTAATTTTATTACCACTGTCTCTAAGCTGGTAAGTTGTGGCTTACCAGCTTAGAGACAGATACTAGCTCTTTATAATTCAAATAGTCTTTTTATTTTTATATCAAATAGTGTATTTGTAAGATTGAGAGTTTTTGTCCTGGTAAGTTTAACTTCTGTATTAACAAAATTTTTTAAGTCTACCACAATTTACTTTAAATCTTAAACATTTTTATTTTAAAAATTATCATGTATTGCAGAAATTTTATTAAATTCAAAGCTTATCACTAATCCAAAAAACGCTGTTTTATACAATGCTCAATCTGTTAATACAGACAACTTCTAATAGCTACTGTTAAAAAAAAAAAAAAATACCATTGCTTTATTTTTATCGAAGAAATCTCTTTGGCATTTAATTATTTTGGTCATTTATCACAAAAATAAATATTGTTTCAATAATTCCAAAGTCCATTAAATATGCATGCATATTTGCAATAGAATGCATTCTTTATAGCTTTAGCTGTTAATAGAGCTTGTTTTTATCAGATCACATAATTTTTGTAATTTCAAACTCAAGACTGCAAATTCTTCATAGAACTAGCCATTGATCCTCTAAACAAAATTTGCAGCAATTCTTTTTGAAGCTTCTTTCATATGCTATTTTCAGGTCTTGCTTTGAATGTAATTTGGTTATGTTTTCATTGTTAACTCTCCATTGAGACAGCACTGAGTAAACTACCGTCTCAATGGAGCATTTCCAATGTCTATTTATCGCATATGTTTTCATTGTTTTCATTAAGTACATTCCAACTATCAGTTTTTTTCAAAACAGCTTAAATTACTAAGTAATAACTCATAATATTAATGTATTTGTAACCAAATGGGTGAAATTATATAAGATAATGTCATAATTTTATTCAAGAAATACAAAAATTTTGATTCAAAAAAAGTTTGCATAATTTGAACCCAGATAATTCAAAGTCATAGTTTTTTTAATCCCTTGAGTTTTAAAATAACAAGGTTTTACTGTAATGCCACACTGAGACAATTATAAATTCTTGATGTCAAAAAGGTAAGCACAAAAGGTTTGAGTTACAAGAAAAGATTTCAAAGTTCAGTGAATACTATCCGAATGGCATTGGAAAATGTTATCAGGTTGAACATGTTGACCTCTCTCATGACACAAAAGGTCTAGAATTGTCACCTGGAGACAAGGTAGAACCAATCAGAAAGTTATGAGGGATATCATCAATCAATCAAAATGTAGGATTGGGGAGAGAACTCTTTTCCCAAGGTCCTCATTCTTTACATGAGGATTTAAACCTTATTCACAAGAGCTCTCATCCTGAGATATTCTCTCTAGAAGGTCAGTTTTCTTTAAAGAATTACCTTCTAGTCACATCCAAAATTTTCAACTTCCCTGTTTTGTCCTTTTCAAGTGGTCAACTGTTAGATGTACACCTGTCAACCCCAAGTTCCCATCTGACCCAAGATTTAACCAAAGTAAGCCTAGAGTCATTGATTCATTGAGATCGATCATTGAGAGACTTACTGTTCACTTGAATTGATGACATTCAGACCTTCTCTGGAATTAAACTAAGACTAATATTATAAACCGAGTCTGTTCCTAGGAGAAGAATAGGCTGAATTTTTGTAAGCATTTCCTTAATCAAATAAATGGATTCTTTTGTAAGTGTAATCCTGACTCAAGTGTCCAAACCATTTTTACATATAATCTTTCAATCCACTTGTTGTCCTGACATGAATTTTGGCTACTTTTGAAGTAAATTTTTTAAGGTCCTAACATATATTCTAAACTTTTAATTATATTTCTTTTCTATTTTTGTATTTTTCATCAGTTGAATATTTCTTTAGTAATACCAATAAATAGAATTTTTAATTTTATTTTAAATAATAATCAAGTTTTCTTTACATATTTTATTTGAAAACTACATACCAGATATTAATAAAATTGTTGCAGGCATACCATGTGTATCCACAAATCTTCTCATGCATTGTTTTAATTTATCATCAGCTGCATTTTTGCTTGTGGCATTGATATGTACAACTGTAACCTAAACAGACAAATGTATTAAATTAAAAATTTTTATACTCAGTAGTTTCTCTACATAAATAGTAAAATCAAAATTTTAAAATTAAATTGCATTAATATCTTTCTTAATACGTTACATTAAAAAAGACTATGGCTGTACAGAAAGTATTTAACTGGGAGAAGAAGGAGGAAATAAAAAGGAAGGGAGGAGGATGAGGAAATAAGAAAAGAAAGGAAGAATCCCTTTCAGCGATGGATGTTTGATTACCGCACCCTCTATGGGTATGTTTGTAAAGTCGAACGAGTTAAATGCGTTAGTAATGAATCGGTCAAAAAGTAGTAATCTCACTCAGTGCGCATGCTCTGCAGTGATGACATTTTGAATGAAACTCTAACAAAGTTCATGAAGGAAAGAGTTACTTTACTTTGTTAAGAAAATGGCTCCTGACAATATCGATTCAATTTTAGAAACAGCCATTTAGTTATAAACAAACTGGTCAAAAAGTCTAACAAAATAAGAATAATGATGATGTCATTCTCATTTAACTCGTTTGACTTTACAAAAGTACCCTATGTTTAATGTTGGTGTGCAGTTTTTAGGCTGCAAGGTCAATGACCTTGCAGCCTAAAAACTGCACACCAACTGGATCTAAAAGAAAACCAGAGTTGTAGCATACACCAATATGAAGTACAGCTACATAAAAACTAGAAAAGTTAATTGTATACTGGCACAATGAAGTGACTTTTCTTCAACACTGGGCAAGTTTCAATCTTTATTCACTAACTGAATAAAGATTGAAACTTGCCCAGTGTTGAAGAAAAGTCACTTCATTGTGCCAGTATACAATACATAAATACAACACGGTTTCGACAACAACAACAGAAAAGTTAATGTTAAATAGCTTTTAATGACAGCTTAAAACTAATATATTAAACCAGTGTCATAGCTAGCAAGCCCTAAGAGACAGAATAACCTAACTAACTGAATAAAGAAAAAGAAACAGTAAGTAAACAGTTAACTTAAATCTATCTTATAACTAGCTTAAAACTTATTACCAACTTATAGCTAACTTATTACTATGTTACTGTGAAAAACCGAAATTAGAGAATGTCGATATTCTCCGGTGACCGGAGAATATTGACATTCGCCAGATATTGGTCATTCACAGTAACAACTATACACAAATACAGAGGAGGAAAACAACTCAGACAGGATAGAACAGACCTACAAGCAAGATGCCAATTATTTTTTCTGTTTTTTTGAGTATATAAAAGGAGACAACAGATAATGAAAATAAACATTGGAACAGAGACAAAACTGGACACAATGGACACAACTGTTCAAAATTAACATTATCTAAACAAGAAAAGCTATGTGCCATCTGGGCCACCAGAGTGAGAGACCACAAGGGCCTTGCTCTGGGATATAAATGAAAGCAAGTGATGACACATTGTCTATATCTGGCTAACGCATGACGTTGGGGTCACCAATTTTGATCAAACTCGATGAGGTGATAGTGCATCTCCAACAACTGACACATGCCAAGCGGTAAGGTGCAACACTCAAAATTAAATGAGAAAATTGAGATTAAAAATTGTAAATCACTTAAAACTTTATAATTTCCTTCATTTGTAGAGTGCCAGTGGCCAGATTCCACCAGTTTTGAACCTTGGTGGTATTGATGTAATTTTTTTATACAAAACTATAATTTTTAATTTATTCTTGATATTTTAAAATTTATTTTTAACCTCAATTTTCTCCTTTAATTCTGTGCCTTACTGCTTGGTACATATCAGTCATTGGGGATGCACTATAACCTCACAATCAGTGACCTCAATGTCATTTCATCTCCTCATAAGTTGGTGTGGTGTACATGGCCAGTTGTACCTCTCCAAAATTGCCACACTCATTCAACTATCCCTAATATTTATATACTTACTGCAATAGAAAATTAAGTGAAGTAGAGTCTGTTTTTTGGCAGCCTGCACTCAGTGTGGATCCCCCAAGGCTGAACCTATGCATGATTGGTAAGAAGTTGAATGAGGGTGAAACTAAAGAAAAAGTGTTGAAGAATTGCAATTGTGTCAATCCTGGGAATAAAAGTGTAGGTGAGCCTACCAGCAGTAGTGTCATGGTCATTGTCTGTGATGTATTTGATGAGCTGTGAAGTTAAACTTCTTGTCAAGAATAATACTTAAATACTTAATTTCCTTTGTCTGCTTTATTCTACATGTTCCTAAACACATGGTCAATTTCTTGATGAGAAGATTACACTTATCAAAAATCATACTTTCATATTTGTCTGTGTTAATGGGCTGCCTATGCAAAATGTTCCACTATTGAATGGTTTCAAGTATGTTATTATGTATATAATTCTATGTAGTATAATATATAGTAATATATATATTCAGTATGTTGTTGCACATGTAGCAAGTGTTCACTGTTCCTGTGAGAAGCTAAAATTATAGTGCCATCTGCATAGCCCTGGATGAGGCAACTAGGAGGCAGAGTGTTGTTAAGGTGCAGGATAGAGATGTAGATAATGTTGGAGTCCAGGATGAAACCTGAGGACAACCCAAGTGTGCAAAATGACAATGTTATATTGTGCTGTATAAATACCTGCACTCCTGTCAGTAAAATAAAACTAAGTTTGTAAATATTCTGAAGGCAGCAGTGATCGTGTAAGGTATGCAAGACAGAATGCCATCAGGCATGATTGAAGGTGCCTCTAAAGTCAATTGTGATTATAGCAGTGTGTTCATTGTTTTGCTAAGCCTAGTGGATATAATGAGTAACTTGTTTAATGGCATCTATTTTGCCTTTGTTTTTATAGAAGCCAAACTGATTCTCAGCTATCTTCTTAATAAAGAAAATAAATTAATTAAATATCAATCTGTTAAGTGAAGAAGCCAAACTGGAAGAGACCTATTGAAATGTTTTTGGGTCTATACATTCAGCTTCAGCCAAAAAGTTCCTTGCAAACTTCCAAAATATATTATGGAAAAAATAATCAAATAAAAAAGGACACTATCTTTAGAACATCTCAAATGAATGCTGGTACATTGGGCTATATTAATGCTACTAAGTACTAATTAAATGTGATGTAATTTGGTCTAGAGATAAGAATTAGGCACCATCTCTTGATAAACTTAATAATTGTAATTAAATTAAAATAAATTTAGAAGGTTCTAGAAGAAAAGAATTGACCCAAAGCAGGGCTAAAACCTGCAGCTTCCACTTACTAAGTGAATGCATTGCTATCCAGTCTTGTTATCCAGACCTCCATTCAATCATTGGCTTCAAAACTATTAATTCAGGTCGCCAAAATGGTCGATATTGACCCCCAGGGGTCAATATAACATTATTGGAGGTTGATTATCAAGCTTAAGCTAAGGATAACGGGGGAGCTAAGGATCAAGCTTATCTGTCTCACTGATTGTCAGTTACAAAAATTATTATTAACAAATATACAATAAATGAAAAAAAATGCAAAATTAAAAGAAATGTATTAAAATAGAAAGTACTTTGTTTTGCTTGTAACAAACTTTTTGGTGGGGGTTGATATGACGTTTTGAAAACTTGTAAAGGTCGACGATCAAAAAAGTTTGGCGACCCTTGTGCTAGACTATATTTTTCATAGGATTCTAGAGAGTAACTAACTATGAAAACTTTAGACCAGGTAGGTCAAATAGTTTAGAAAGTAATAGGCGATAAAATCAAGGGAATGTAGTGTCAGACTTTTATAGAAGCCCATGAGCACATCTAAATGACATACAGCTAAATAAGCAAGCCAATGACAGATACCAGTTTAAATGAAATCAACTACATTGCTGGCTTCCTTACTTAGCTTCTTGCCACCTAGACTCGCTTTACATTTTTCACAGGAAACTAGAGGGAAGAGGGAATTTTTTCCTAGAGGGGAACTATAAAAAAATCTGGTGTAGATGGATCAAAGGATTTACAAGTACATAGAGGACTGACATCCAGCCATTCTATTATATATATATATGTTACTGTGAATGACGATATCTGGTGAATGTCAGCATTCACACAGTCATTTCGTGTATGTACGAAATATTTGCTAAATATCATTATTTCTCACTTACACTGGCAAATGTCGACATTCAGCATGCACTGATGGTAAATGTTGAATAAAAATATTTTTATTACTTTAAGACAAAAACGCAACATTTTAATATGTGAAAATGGGAGAAAGCTTAAGTAACAGCACATTTAAATAAACTGTTGAACCTAAAACGAACAGTACATTTTAAATCATTAAAGAAAATAATACAATAATAAACTTACACATAAATTATGTGATTAACGTTATACAATCTTATTTATTGCAACAACTTAAACTGTTATGGCACTTTGAATTGCACAAGAGTCCCTTGCTTTTACAATTGCATTTATTCATGGACCACTTTTTTTATGCAATGACAGCTTGTATAGCCTTGCCCTCCTCTTTTCGAATTAGCTGCAGCTGCTTCTCTCAGCGATATTTCTTGAGAAGAAATCTCATTTATGGAAAGTAACTTTTCTTTACAAATTACGAACTGATTACGTTATTACGTGATTACAAACTGATCTGTTAATGGTGTCTTTTATTCGGATATCGCCGACGCCTTACCGACAACCCCTCTCATCCTCCGCCACTCAACCTGAGAAACCGATCCCCACCTCACGGGATCAAAAGACCTTGTCCTACCTCCTGCTACCCACAAAGGATTTGGCGACAGACTGTCGCCTGTCTGTCGACATTGGCTTCTCAGATGTCGTTTCGACCTCCACCAAAGCTTATCTGTACTTGTCGACATATACCAGCGATTGTTCGAATGTATAATAATATAACCAAATATTCGGACTTTAACTGATGTATTTTGTATGTGTCGACATTCACTGGAGAATATCGACATTCTCTAATTTCGGTCTTTCACAGTAACATATACATATAATAAATTTTAAACAATTAAAACTTAGATAGATGATGTGGGTTCTAATCAAATTTACAATTTTATAGTACTCTATCCACTACCTGTTGGATCACCTAGCTGAATGCACATTACCCCTAATGTGCATGCTATGAGTTCATAATGTCACTTGATGTATATTTCAAAAATATTTCAAAAACATCTTCAGGTCACCAACAAGTGACCTGGAGATGTTTTTATAGTTAATGGCTTGGCCTAGGAATATCATTTTATAGATGTGTAATGTCTCCATATAGCTTGTTTTATAAATTTTCCCTCGAAATAAACCTTGGATCATCTTGTAATAAACTCAGCTATTGTTTGTTATTATATTTTTATTATTATTTTTATATACATTTTACACGTGTATCTTTATATTCTCTTTTTTCACAACTTCAAAGGTTTGCTACCAACATTTGAAATATTTATTCTAGAATGTTTTAAAAATTTTTGTTCTATTCAAATGCAACCAATTTCAATTTGAATTTTTTCTTTTAGCAACTTTTTAAAATGTTGTTGTACAGAATGAAGTTGTCAGCAGAAAACATGGCAAGAACTCGGTAATCCATCATCCAGTTTTAACAAAAATTTCTTTGTTTCTAATCGCATTTTTAAAAATTTGGCAGTTTTTTGTACCTTTTTTTCTGTACTTAATTAAAACCAATCAATCTCAGACATTTAGTAGTATAAAAATATAGCATGCTCTCACTTAATGAAATTTTATTATAATATCATTAAAGAAAGATACAAGTAAATTTGTAATCATTTACAATTATTGTTATTGAATTTTCTTTATAAACAATAAAACTGATTTTATAAAGTGGAAAATAAACACTGGAGGTTGAAAACACAATCCAATTAAAATATTAATCAAATTATATCTTTTTTATATGATTTAGCCTATAGTAGAATTAGTTTCATTATATATCGTTTTACTTAATGTTACGGTTTCATAGAACCTACCAACAATATTAAGTGAGGACATGTATATTTAAAAGTATATTTAAAAGTTTATAATGGTGTGCCAGTGTACTTTGTGAACATAGGTAAAGGACAACAGACAGATTCATTTGTTACAGATCAAGCTTATTAGAGACAATCCCATTCCATTCCATTCCAGACAAAAATAAAGAGAAACTTCACTATTAGCAAAATATAATAAACAAAAGTAAAACTTACTTGTGCCAAATTGAGTTCTTGGATAACTTCTTTATTTTCTTTATTAATATCACAGACACACAAAAATTCTGCTTCTCTATGTCCACGAAAAAATCTCTCTCTTATAGCCTGGACAAGAGCTATAACCGATTTCCCCTTGGGAACCTGACAATTTTCAATATCCCAAAAAACACCAATTGGTGGTAATGCTTCCAAAGACACATTTTGAAATTTTGCAGCTATATTGTTTCGTGGGCTATCTAGAATTACAAGAATTCAATAAAATTGTTACATATATATATTTAAAATTATAAATGTGTGATTTTTTTGCAAACAAAATTAAAATTTAATTTTTATTATATGCTGTAATGACTGAACTGTAGTCAATTGTCTTATTCTTGAATTGAGGAAGAACCTTAAAAAGCAAACTCAATGATCATCTATATTTGAAAAGAAAATAATTGAGAATTTACAACTTTTAGTTTACATTTTTATCTAAGTTTTTTCTTTTTAATACAAAGTAATCTATATAAAAAAATTATCAATTTAATGCTTCATCCATTACCTTTCTGCTCAATGAAGGACTGTAGTATTATGGAGTTAGATTGTATAAATGATTTATTCAATAATCCTTTCATCAATATGGCTGAGCAACATCCAGAAATTTTTCACAAGTGATCTGTCCCAGATATGTCAAGCCCTATCCCTCACTACCCCCATTATAGGCCTGGTCAAACCCACAATTTATATGAAAACAGGCCTTCTTAGTGCCCACAGAACAAAGTGTTTAAAAAAAAGTATCACTCTTCTGTCAGAAATTCTAATAGCATTACAGTAATACAGTGACTAAATTATTCCGTGATATGACTTCTCAGCAAATTTTAATACTCTAATTGATCATTAAATCTCTAATTATTAATTAATATTAATTAATTTGTTCAAGTACTTGGTATTAATTAATTACTAGCTATTATGATGTCAATTTGACTTGTACCTTATTCTCATTGTTTTCAACAAATTATAAGCTGCTTATTTGCTGCTTTTATACTTGAAAATGCAGTTTTCAGAAACGTATCCAATTCCTAAAAGTATTAAACTAACCTTGGTTAATTCCAGCACTCTAGACTAATGGCCTTTGAGCAAGATTGAAAACATTAGCAATTGTCAGATTTAATAAAAGTGCACATACATGCTTTTATGTACTACTTCCAGCACAGACTTTTGATAGAGATTACATAAATAGAAGACAAATGTTTTTAGTCATTTCAGGGGTCCTCCTCAGGTTACAAAATCTTTTTAAAAGTTTAAATGAACACATATGTTCAATAAAAAAATTTTTTTACAAACTTCTTACAAAATAATAAATCAATGTATGCAGAATTGCAGATAATTTATATTCAAATTATCCAAAGTAATTTGAATATAAAGTTTCATATAGGTTTAAGTTACACGTATCATGTGAGAAAAGTGACAGAATTGGCTGCTAACAATGAGTGAGTCATACCATCTAAATATAGGTGTAAATTGATCATCCAAGTGATCAATTGGAGATACTGTATATATATGCATTGTCACATTGAAAGCAGTGATTGAAAGTTGTTCAATACATGATCACTGTCAGTAACTGTTGAACTTGTTGTGTCTCTCGGGACAAGAGTTCCAGGGCCACACATTTCACATACACTTTTGTTACTTTAACTATAAATCACATCTTATTTCTTGGGGTTGCAAACTGCATATTTTTGGCCTGATTTTTATGTAGTTTACATTTTGAACTTAATTCAAAATCATAACCTAAATACTTGTATTTGCAGACATAAGACCTGTTTGGTAATTGATTTTTGTTGTAAAACTTTGAAATGTTAGATAGTAAATGAGGCAGCATGCAGATTAGTGAGCCAGTGTTATCAGGAGGGGAGGGGATCAAAATTTCCCTAAAAATGATAATATAATTTACGGACAGCCTCTAAGCTGCTTCTGTTTGTACGTAAAAATGATAAGTGTGCAAGTGATAATTATGCCTTTTATTTAACACGATTGGAAGAAAATATTGCAAGTTATTTTCCTTCCTTAAATTTAGAAAATTATGATCAGATACAAAATCCATTTGGCAGGATTAATACATTGAGTTGGGAATTTTTCATACAAGAACAATTGGTCACCTCATCAACAAATTATACATTAAAAATGAAATTATCCAAAATAACTCTTGTAGAGTTTTGAATTTTTGTCCAACATGAATAACCAGCTCTCTGTATAAAAACACTAAAAATTTTCTTAGTTTTCAACATGTTTGTTTTAGCTTGGCTCTCACATTCACAAATATAAAAACTCAAAAACGATTAAGATTTACTAATACTGTATAAGAGTAATTGAAGAAATGAAAATAGCTATATCACATATTAGATTTGATATTGATGTAATCTGTAGAATCTGACAAGCTCATGTATTGCATTATAATTGATTTAAAGACGTTCCATTTTTATAAAAAGTTATTTTAGTTACAGTTTTTACAAATACAATTTTTTAAATTAATGTCTTTTTACTTTTATTTATTCTGTAATCTATATTTTTTAATAAGATATGTCCATGCATATTTTTGCTGTTATTTTATGATCTTAGTGATTTTGCTGTTCCACAAATGTTTCTTATATTGAAAAGTGTTCCATGACTTCAAAAAGGTTAAAAACCATTACCTAAGCCTTGTTCTTTTTTCAATCTATAGAAATAATTTACCATCTACATTTAAAGACCTAGAATCAGATGGGATTTTACTACAGAATGTAGATATTCACACACTATAATATGCCGATGACTTGATTATCTTAGCAAAAAAACCCAATAAATATGCAAAGAAAGTTAAACGGATTACAAAAATATTTGCAAGAAAATGGTCTTCAAATTAACCAGAATAAAACAAAGATTTTTATATTTGGCAATGGTTCTTGATCACGAAAATGGGACAAATTTTTTATTGACAATAAATATATAATAGTTAAAGAGATTTCTTATCCAGGAGGGGGTCTTGTTTGCTTCTCCTTTAACATTTGTTAATCATTTCAAATTTATAAAAAAGAAACTTATGTTAAGAATAAAAAAGTAATTAAAATTCACAGTTCAATCAAATCTACTAACATTTATTTGTTTGCACAAATCTCTGGCTAATTCATTGGTAGATACTCACATACTATGGAATTCAAATTTGGGTGATTTCCCAATTTATCAATTTACCAAAATTACATATGCTGTATTATAAAAGCTGTTTAGCTTAGACCATTCCATACCTTATTATTCCTTGAAAACAGAACTATATCTCCAACCTATTAGGATTAATGTATTAAAATGGATGCTTAATTATATAGAAAGGATATTTAAATACCCACTTTCATTGGATTATTCAGCATACTTAAAATAAAATTAAAAGAACTTAGTGAAAAGAAACATAACTTGTATACTCAATTTGACAATATTTTGCATTTAGGTGTTTTCTTAAAACTGCTGAAATCTTATCCAGAAGACACCTCTGAGATATCTAACACACATAATTTTCAAGAATATTCACTCAAATAATTCAGCTAAAATAAGTACAGCATCTTATCATCTTGGGCACTCTGTTTTTCTACTATTTATTTCAGACCCATCTACAGTTTATAACCAGAACATCAGTTTTCATCCGAAAGTGTTTTATTCAACTCCAGCTAAATAAGTTCTTTTTGTATGGAAAAACATTGGTATTAACTTTAATCAGTTCAGATTTGTGTCGGTTTTGTAATATTTACTTTTTCATTGTATTAAATTTTCACACTTTAGATCAGAATTTAATTATAACCTTACTTTTGTTATTTATAGAAATGATATTGTACAAAAATTATTTTGTTAAAGATGTGTCAACTTGTAACTGTTTTCATTTTATAATTTGTTAAATAAAATTCCAACTAATGTATTCTCCCCCATTCTCCGGGGGGTTCTAACCCTTAAAGGAATTAATAAATTGAACCGAATTATCTGACTTAATTCTTTCTTTTTGACAAATGATATGTAAGTATATAACAAAAATAAATGACCTGTGAAAAATACTGTACCTTGCAGAGATTTTTACTCAAGATACATGTATAATATGATTTTTTGCACAACTTTCTTTTTTTTAGCACTCTAAAAATGAGGAAATGCAAACTTTTTTTAGCACTTTAAAATCCTATCCTTAGTTATCAGCATTAGAATACCTGTTTTTATCTACTATGCAGATCAGTTTAACTCTTTCAAATCAACTCTGTTTTGACAAGTGAATATTCTTCATGTTGCTCATCTATTGACTTACTTGAAACAATGTGACAACAGATGCAATGTGTTTTCAAATCACCATGAAGAATGTCGTGTACAGAACTATGCAAAATTTCTGAAATGTTAACCTGATCATCTATTGGTGCATTGAGACAGGAGCAACTATGTATATCATCATTATAAAGATTAAAAATCTTTTTATTTACTTTTGGATTTTTTAGAACAACGATCCCAGAACTTTCAGACAATCTATAATTCAGGAATTTTAATAATTTAAAATAAATAAATATAACAACGTTCACATTTAAAGTAACAAAAACATCAGAATTATCTCACATTTATTTTTACTTATTTATCTAATAATGAGATTTCTAAATATTTTCATCTTTGAGAAATACATTTAATAATAATATTGTTAATCTTCAAGACCTTATCACTTTATGTGGAAATTTTTCATCTGCTACTGGAAGCTCAAGAAATTTGAAATTCAAATAAAAGTTCTTATGTCCTAATGAGTTTTAGTTGTATCTGATGATGAGCTGCAAAAGCTAATGAAACATTTAATACATAAAAAATAAAAGGACCTCCGTAAAGTAGCCGCAGTTTTTCTTAAATTAATACATTTAATAATTTTTTTAGCATATGTTAATTGGCTGATATTGACTATTACAGTACCATGCGCCATCTTAATTTTAACATTTAGGTACAAAAGGTAGACCATATGTGACTATTATACATTACATGATCTAAATGAATTCTGTAAGTCATTGAAAATTTCCTGTAATTTAATCACTATCATTTGCAAGTATATTAATTCAAATTATGTTCATAAATGTATCAAATGTACAGATAATTTGTTTCTGAGTATTTAACATACTAAATTTTTTTATTTGGCTAATAATATATTTTATATCTCAAAATACCTTTTTTTTAATAGAAAAAAATTAATGTACTTACTTCTCTTATTCATCTCTGCCATCTTATATATAAAATGATTAGTTTTACAGCCAGTTGAAAATCTCTAAAAATTCCATCCGCCATTCTCACGCATTGACGGTACTTATTATACAAAAATATTCTGAAATGCAAATATACATCATTCTAAAATATAGCAAAATAAATTATTATTAAAAAATTTAATTAAATGCAACCTACATTTTTATTTAATTTCATCTTAAAATATTTTCATATTAATTGATATTAAAAGTAATTATTTGAAATACTCCAAAATGACAATGAAATAAAATTTTTCGCAAACGTTTCACATAAATGTCTGTTTTCAAGTGTTCCGAAAACACCAATTTACGTAGTTTAAGGTTTTGTTTCTCGAAAATTAATTTGTTTGGATAATTATTACGTAATTTCGCATTACATTTTAAACAAAGAATATTCAAATTCTGTCAAATTTTATGTTTTAATTAAAATAATCTATAGGATACATAAACTAAGAAAAGAATTTGAAACTGATTTTAATTTTGGAGAAATTGAACATCATCAGACAAAAAACTAGCACAAGTAAACTGGAACTATATACTAAACACAACAATTAATACCTAAATGCTAATTCCAGCACTGAATGAAGAAAAAATTTTAATGCTCGAACATTTTCAGCCATCTTTTAGAGGCCCTCCTCAGGAATGTATGAAACACACAAAAAAACAGTTCTATCATTTGAAAACTTCTAACTGTTGAATACAGCTGTGAACACGGCTGTTTCATACATTCCTGAGGAGGGCCTCTAAAAGACGGCCAAAAACATTCAAGCATTAAAATTTTTTGTTCATTCAGTGCGGAATTAGCATTTTGGTGTTAATTGTTGTATTTTGCACAACATCAAAAATCTGTTTCTGACAGTGGAATCATTTTTATATGATAATTAATAATTTCATTGTAAAGGTTGTCATAATAAGTAGTAACAGATGATTTTTGAGTAACTTCATAAAAAAGTTTAAAAATTCTATTTCTTTTTTTCAAATATCTTTTATTGAAAGTGAGTCATTACATAAGAAATATGACAATGGTTAAATGACCACCTCAGACTTCTCCAGATGATATGCATTCTTTGGATGAAGTTCTGTAAAACATTTTTGCATAATTGAGATTCTATTTCTGAAATAACAGCTAAAATGTTTTGTTTAAGCTCCAAAATTGTTTGTGGATTACTTGTGTTATTATCCTTCACGTACACTCAAGAAGTCCAAAGTAGTCAAATTGTGAGTTTGGTGGCTGGTCAACATCTCCTTTGAAAAATTACATATCAAAAAAACTTACTCTGCAAAAAAGAGCATTTTGTCACTTGTACATGAAACTGCACATCTTCAAGATCAAGTTGCATCAAGTTTTTGGCCACATAAAGTCTGTTAACATGCTACAGTAATGCAGACCATTTACCATTACAGCATATCTGAAGTGCAGTCCAATGACTCCTGCAGCCCACAGATCTTGTCAAACTGCAATTATGTAATTGCAGAGGCATTAACTTACCTTCCGCAAAACCAGTTTCTGTAAATTTCACAATTAACTTTTGATTTCTTTTGATACTGGGTATGCAAGTCTTACCAAAAGCAGCATGTAATTAATTATCTTTGCACATATTAAAGATGGCTGATTTTTGTAAAGCATTTCAACATCATGTTCTGCAACCATATACTGTTCTATTTTTCCTCCAAAGTTTCAATATGCCAGATGACCAGTCAAAAATTAACAAAAACATTGTGTACTGTACAATGAGTGTGTTACAATAGCAATCAGATTTGATTTAGTAATGACCAGAAGAAAAAAATGTGTAGAAAAATCTGAAGAGTTCACAATATAAAACAATGGATATTGATGTTCTGATTTCTATAATGTAATTTTATTATATCTACTAGCTGCAAGGACCCGCTTTGCTGGGCAAAAAGTAACGATAGTGAAGATTAAGATAATTACATTATAGCTAATCTTACCCGTTTTCACAGAATGCAAGAATTAGGTCCCCCGTTTCCAGACTAATTAGAGAATTTTTACGTTTAGTCAAACGAACTATTTTCTTTCAACGTTTCTGGAACGTTTACAATCGTTCTATAATCGAACCAATATTCGAATTTTATGTTCGAATTTAATTCGAACAAATTCGAACAAAACATTCGAAATAGAAAGCCACTTTCAAC